GGGGGTTATTCCTCCCAAAGGAATATTTTGGCAACAAGATCCAGATTTCCCAAAGGGCAGAATAGGCAAAGAAGGAATCTAGAAAGATGAACTTTATCTAGTCTTAGCTACGAGGAAAGTACAAAGGGAGAATAAGAAAAGTAAATAAAAGTCAGGAATGGCCTTCTCAGCAGAGTGGAAAGCACGGCAGTGAGAAGACGACTGCTATAAAGAAAAAAGATTAGTTTATGAAATTCCTTTCTGCAAAATGTTAAGTGCCCGATAAAGTGAAAAACACCATGTATTGGGTGAAGACCTTGGTTCTAGTTGAGTCTCTGCCAGTAGCCAGCCTAGTAACCTATGGCCAAATCACATCACGTTTCTTGCGCCTCAGCTATTTCCTCAGCTGCAGGATGGGTTGTGAGGAGTGGACCGGACTTTGGAGACATTCTGACTGGAACTCATGACCTGCTCAACCTTTCCTCCCTCCAAGGAAGGAATTTGACAATTCAAACACTACATCAGGGAAGAAACTGACCAAGGCACTTGAAGGCTTGCAAATTTGTCCCAGGGGCCCAACAATTGATGGTAATCAAGGAAGCTGACCTGTACACTTGGGAATGAGGGACCCTTTCCTGAGATTCCAGGGCCCCTGGCTACAATGTAAGAAGTTCACTAAATTTTTCTTTCAAGAATATCCTTGGCCTGGCAAGAGAGGAAAGGCCCTGGCCAGCCTCCACCTGCAGCCTAATACACTCAAGCTGTAAGAAGCACCTTCTTCTTGTTCAGGACACCCCAAGGGTCGGCTGCCTACTACAGCCTCAGCAGGAGCCTGAGGGCTGCACTATCCCATGAACCGGGCAAGCTGTCCCCCCCTCGCTGAGCTCCCGCCTCTGAAGAAGTGCTCACTACCAGCTCCTGGAGTCAAGCTCTCCATGAAGGTTGAGATACCAGTGTGTGGCAGTGTCTGATAGAGACATTTTACAAGTATGTGAAAGAATAATCTTTGTAAGCACAAAGAGGCCGTAGAGGTTTTTTTTTTTTCTGATGGTAAGAGGCTTAGTCTTAATGTTCCTTTATGAATTGTGCTAGTAGGCACTCACTGGTTGCTCAATCACAGGCCACTGTAAAAGGTTAACTATGTTAATTAACTCTGAGCAGGCTGGGAGAGATGCTTCCAATACCTGGAATAGTCTTCCCAGAAAATGCTTTCAATACCTATGGTTAAATCACTGCCTTGCTGTTCTTCAATGATGAGAACTGGACTTAGATGTAAGGCTTTATATAAGTGCTTCTCAAAAAAATTTTAAAATACTGAGTCCAGAGGCTTACTGTTAGCAATTCTAATTAAATCAGTCTGGTGTGGGCACAAAACATTGATAGTTTTCAAAAGCTCCTTATGAGTGTGACTTAGTAAAACTACCTTGGAAAAGACTGGCAATTTCTACTACAGCTGATCATACATATGTCCCATTACTCTGAAGTTCCACTCTTTAGATATGTAACCAACAGAAATACGTATGTGTTCCACCAAAAGTCATGTAAAAGAATGCTCATAACAGCACTATTCTTAGTCATCAAAAACTAGAAAACTAAATTTCCATGGGGAAGTAAACAGTGGCACAGTCACACAGTAAAATACAAACGATGAGAGTAAATGGACGACAACAACATGCAACATGGAATGAGCCAGAAACATAATGAGGATCGAAAGAAGGCAGACACGGAAGACTTTATAATGTATAATGCCACTTAGATCAAGTTCAAAAGCAGGTGACACTAATCTAGTGTTAAAAATCAGGATAATGATGACCTCCGTGGCGGTGGCAACTCGGTGAGAGCGAGAGGAGGGCTTCTGGCGTGCCAACCATGTCCTCTTTTGACCTGGGTGCTAGCCATTCAGGTAAATTCAGCTGTGAAAAAATCATTGAGCTGTATACATACGATAGGTGCACTTTTAGAAATATACATTCATATTTCAATGAAAAATAGCTTCCTAAGGGATTTTAATGTGCATCTAATATTGAGAGCCATTGAAATAGATCTCAAGACAGCTCTCACTGCCAAAAAGATGAGGAGGCCAGCCGAGTGGCTCAGTTGGTTAAGAGTTAGCTTAAGAGTGCCAGCTCTGAGCAACAAGGCCACTGGTTCGAGTCCCACATGGGCCAGTGACACTGTGCCTGAGCTGAGCTGCCACTGAGCTGCCAATAGATGGCAGGATGGCTCAGCTGGTGAGAGCAAATGCTCCTAACAAGACTGCCTGTTCGATGGTGGACTACGCCCGCCCACAACTAAGACTTAACTCGGCACCTTGAGCTGAGCTGCCACCCGGATGGCTCAGTGGATACAGCGCACACTCCTAACAACAAGGGTGCCAGGTTTGACTCCCGCATGGGATGGTGGCTACGCCCACCCACAAGTAAGATTGAACACAGCACCTTGAGCTTAGAGGCCACGAGCTGCCAATAGGCAGCCAGATGGCGACTGATGACCTCCACAACTAAGATTGAAGCACAACAACTTGGCTGTTCTCCTCCCCCAACTCCCCCACCCCCCAAAAAAGATAATGAATCAATCACCCATGTATATATTAAGTACAGCTGTCCTTAAACAACATAACGGTTTGGGGCACTGCCCCCGCTCTATCAAATATCTGAGTATAACTTTTTTTTTTTTTAAGACCTCCATTGGTGAATTGGGGGGATGGGAACAGCGCTGGGGAATTGGGGGAAGGGGGACAGACAAGTCGCTGTCGTCCTGCTCCTCAGTCTAGCTGTGGAGGACGTCGCCCCACTGGCCCAAGCCGGCACCATCATTGCGCCCCTCCGGGTGAGGCGGATCAGTCGCCGGCTTCTGGACGGCCGCTCACCGCGGCTGCTGGCCGCTCACGCTGGCTGCTGGCCGCTCACACTGGCCGCCGGCCACACACGGCAGCCCATGGCAACCCACTGCCACAGGGACTGCAGCCCACGCCGTCGCCGGCGACCCACAGCAGCCCAGCTCCAGGTTGAGCCACCGTTCAGCATCTTAGCTGTAGAGGGCAGTGTCACTGGCCCTTATATGTGGGATCCGAACGGGGGGCCCTCTGGCATCCCAAGCGAGTTCTTAACCATCGCGCCACTCGGCCGGCCCCTGAGTATAACTTCTTGACGCTCCAAAAACTTAACTACAATTGTCCCTGGGTATCTGTGGGGAATTGGTTCTAGGGGTTCGGGCCTCCCCATGCAGATATCAAAATCCAAGGATGCTCAAGTCCCTCATATAACATGGCCTAGAACAATGCATACAGTCAGCCCTCTGCGTCCGTGGATTCCCAACTGCAGACTGAAAATACTGCTTTCGATCTTTGGTTGGTTGAATCCACGGATGCAAAACCTGGGGATATGGAGAGCCGACTGAATATTTATTGAAAAAAAATATCTGCGTATAAGTGGACCTACTCAGTTCAAATCCTTGTTGTTCATGAGTCAACTGCAGTTACTAATCATTACTATAGCTAGCATCTACTGAACACTATGTGCCAGGAACAACTGCAAAAGCTCTTCAGTTAATAATTCATTTAATTCTTCAAACAACTCAGTGGCCTAAATATTATCTTTATTTTACATTTGAGGGAATTTCGGCACAGAGAGGTTAGCAAATTTGCTTAAAGCCACAAAACTGAAAGTTTATAGGGGTTTTAGCTACAGACATAAACAAAACAATGCATGTATTTGCCCTTATGGTGCTTACAAACATATTTAACTTGTTCTCCCCTCAATCAAAACATATCCCGTGAGCGCCTCTTCTCAGTAGCCTGCCAAAAAGCAAACCTAAATTATCTCTCCACAACAAGTTTTTTCAAAAGGAAGATTTCATCAAGAAAAAGCCACTGGTAAAGAGAGTAGGTATGAACAGAAGTAAATAAAAAGTAAAGGTCAAACAGAAACAATCCAATTCAGTAAACCACATGTTGAAAAGCACTCATAAATACTGTGCTTTCTACTCTAAAAGTCTAGGGTTCCTCCTTGCCAATGTGAAAGATTCACCACTATCTAATTTGTCTCACCTTCTTTGTCCACCATCTCTGCCTTCCAGGAAACAAGCATTTTGCCCCAAGGTGGGGTTCACCACCAATGACTCTATAATTCACTCAAAAATTTCTACTCACAAAATTAGAGGTTCACAGGACCATTACTGCTGCCAGCTACCGCAGTTATTAACTAACTTGTGAGATTCAAGGTACCGAGAACAATCACCAGGAGGATTGCACAAAATATATCCTTCCTCTTCTACTCTCATCTTTCCCCACTAGCCACCTTACAGACAAAAAGCAGAGGGTGTTACTTCCTGGGAGTCAGTATGACAATCATATCCACTAGTTAAACATTATGATTTCCTGTAGCAGTAAATAAAACAGGCAGAGGTCAAACGGAATAGGGAATATTGTCAGGACTCAAAAGCCAAACTAAAAAGTAACTTTAGGGCCGGGACACGGAGATGGCTATTAGATAACGAGCATGAAAACGAAGGGAAAACCGGGTTCCGCTTAGCAAATGATGACTCGGGTGTAGTGGGAAAAGTTATGGGCTAGGAGACCCTCTGTCACCTCACTCATCTCAGTTTCCTCACCTCCAAATTACTGGGCAAGGGGGTAAATTGAACTTCTGAGTACTTAGACGGTGGTGGGGCAGGCAGCCCCAACTACTCTCTTTTTTAGCAAAGTCAACAGCAGCACTTTTGGGAGCACAGTCGGGCCAGGTAAGAGAACGTGTCCCAGCAGCACAGGAGCCTGCGGGCACAGTAAACAGGAAGCCCATTTTCCAAGCGCAGATTGTGCCCGGGGCCCCTTTCTTCGGCTGCAGGAGACTGCTCTTCAGGCGTGAAGGGCTCTGGACACGGTCCTCCTTCCCCACCCGGCTGGCCTGACTTTGCGCTACAGGTCTCCCTACCGCAAAAAAATGGGTCCGCTGCTGACCTGCACACCCTGCTCAGAGCCCTCGCCTGCAGCCCAACACGCCCTAACAAGGACAGATGCTTACGTGGAGACCACCTTCCCGTTCAAGATTTCCGCCGGCGCCATGACCTTTATTAGTCCGCTGCCCACGATGGACCGCCAAAATCCAGGTTTGACTCTCCACACAGCCGCGCGGTACAGCCCAACCCACGTGTTCAGCGACCGCCCACGAGGGTCTCGCTACTGCGCCTGCGCTTCCTCCCCAGCTCGGCCGGACGCGGATGCGCGTGCGCAGTTCTGGAGGATGTATTTCCCTTAAATAGCGGAGCGGGTAGGGGTTCTGGAATAAGGAGGGAAGATGAAGAAACTCAGTGTTGACTGGAGGAAAGAATTGAGTGGCTGGTGGAAAGAGCCGTTACAGATCGCGCCATCGTGTGGGGCGGGGAACCCGCTGAAGTAGGGGGGCCAGGCCTCGATTCCAGCGAATGGGGAGCGGAGCCGGAGGGTCGGTTTCGCGGGAGAACAGTTTCGCGGGCGTCAGAGCGAGGAGTGTCTCCGGTTCCCGCCTGGGCGCTGGGGGGCGAGTCGCCAGGTGCTGAGGGCGCGGGGTTTCCCCAGAGAGCTCTGGCCTGGCTCCCGTGCTGGGAGCTTGGTGCGGCGCCGGGCCGGCCCGTAGAGGTTAAGCCTTCGGAATGGGGGCGGTGTCCGGCGTTCTCCCCCACCGGCGCCAGGAGATTGGTATCGCGGCCCCCACCCCAATGCCGAGTCGGTGGGCCTGGGTGGCGCCCGGAACAGTTTTACTCTCCTCTGGTGACTGATGCTCTGCCAAGGCTGAAGCCCAGCCCGCTGTTTTCGTCCCCGCGGGGCCGGAGCTCCTCAGTACCCGGGGCAACCCCGGGCTTGGCCACTGCAGGAGGGTCTTCAGCTTTGCAAAACTAGATTTTGTCAGATGCCCACGCAGATCTGGGACTTCATATAAATTAGATGCCAAGTGATCATCGATGGCGGACACTTGCTCCCCAGGCGTCCACTCTGGGGAATAAGTGAGGTCAGGCGTTTGCTTGGGGAGCAGGATGGGAAGACCCAGGCATCTGGGAGTTTGTGAGGACTAGTCCTGCAAGTCTCTGGAGTCCTGTGAGTTAGGTTATAGTTAGCCCAGTATAGTTCAGAATATACATTGCTCAGGTCACTTAATCTTCCCCCCAGCTTTTTAAAGGTATTACTGACATATACTCGTATACTCACTATGTTGTACATTGAATCCCCAGAATTGATCATATAGCTGGAAGTTTGTAGCCTTTAATTTCCCCATTTCACCCACCACTCTTGCCCCTGAAACCATCATTGTACTCTATTTCTGAGTTCGGCTTTTTTAGACTCCGCATATAAGTAATATCTTACGGTATTTGTCTCTCTGACTGTCTTCACCTAGCATCTTACTCTCAAGGTCCATCCACATTGTCTAATATATACAGAAGGTGCCAAAAAAATGTATACACATTTTGAGAAAGAAAAAACTATTAAAATTGTAATAATATATATTGATAACAAAAGATGAATACAAGTCATATGTATACATATTTTTGGCACCC